ACAACCACCGACACCACGACCAACAACCAACCAACCTTACTTACCGTCGTTACGTACCCGGTTACCGGTCGGTACGGTCCGTTACGGGTCGTACCGGTACCCGTACCGTAACCTACCGTTAACCGTACCGTACCGTACCGAACCCGTACGTACCGACCGTTAACCTAACCGTAAACCGAACCGAACCGTACCGAACGTAAACGTTAACGTTAACGTTACGTTAACGTTACGTACGTACGTTCGTACGTAACGTAACGTTTAACGTTAACGTTACGTACCTAACCGACCGTAACCTACCTTACGTTACGTCGTACGGTACGTTTACGTCGTTACGTACGTACCGTTACGTCGTCCGTACCGTACCCTACCGTACCTAACCACCAACCGAACCAACCGACCAACCTACAACCGAACCTAACGACCGAACCAACGTTAACAACCGAACCTACCTAACCTTACGTACGTCGGTACGTACGTACGTCGTACGTACGTACGTACGTACCGTACCCGTACCCTAACCGTACCGTACCGTACCGTAACCGTAACCAACGACCACTAACTAACAACCAACACAACCTAACCAACCGAACCAACGAACCACTACCTTACTTACGGTTCGTCGGTACGGACGTACGTCGTACGTTAGTACGACCGTACCTACCACACCTACTCGACTCGACACTACACACACACACACACACACACACACACACACACACACACACACACACACACACACACACACATCACTACACGAAGACTTTCAAAGGCTTTTTTGGTGCATTTTAAGAAAAAATATCTTTACTGGGCAAACACAACAAGATGAAATAAAGTTTAAACTATAATACTTAAATAACAACCAACAAATGAGTTAATTGGATATGGATTACAGATAACGGTTCAACTTGATTTTCAATTCTCATGGGGATTTTGAAACGTCCATTTATTTCATTCACAAGATCCGCCCATTTACAGATTCTTAGGTAATCAACATTTAACAATTTCCTTGTAATATGTTAAATTATTACTACTCTTATTTCTAGGAATAATTAGGAAAGAGCTTTTACCCACAATTGGCTCGATGATCTGACATACACTTTAGTTAGTTTTCTTTAGATGTCATGTCTGTTATTATATATCTGCTTTAACCCTTGTGCCTCTAAAAAAACCGATATATTAAATTACTTCCCACATTTTTTAGGCAACTCCACTCCTGATCATAACTACCAAATATTTGATAATTTGAATAATTTGAATCCTTCTGTTTACACAATGACACTGTTGTTTAAATATATATATTTTTGTTTTAAATTAAGTACTTTGTTTGTATGCTTGTGTCTCTTTTCACAGTCTAGGATATGTCAATGCATAACTTCTGGTTAATACAGCAGCTATAATCCTAGTAGAAATCCAGCAACATCGCATCTATTGGCTAAAACATGAAAAAGTAGCTAAATGGTGGAAAATACTACTTATCGGATATTAGGTCAACTTCCAAAATAACACCTTTGCCAAAATGATGCCATATGCATTAATATATGCTACATTGTATACTAAAAAGTACACATTAATGCTGAATCTGGTGAAGGAACATTATTATGTGGCCATCTCTCTGTGATATCTGGCTCTTGCCTGCTCACTCACTCTTTCTCACTCTTCTCCAAAATATGGTTCACACTTAACTCCATCTGTTCTGATCTCCTCCCCCTCCCCACCTTCCTCCAGTCCATCCTGGGCGGTTTCCTCAATGACTTTTCCCAGGCGGTGAAGGACTGTGCGGGTCAGATTGTGGATGCAGCTGTGGAGATTTACAACCGTTTGAGCGTAGATCTGCTGCCCACCCCAGCTAAATCCCACTATGTCTTCAATCTCAGGGACCTCTCCAAGTGTGTCCAAGGTGAGACATTTGAAACCAATTGGAGCAGACGTGATGGTCCGAACCTGATGGTTTGTTTACACAGAATGTGAATGAAGCGTTTATGTCAATGAAAACTCTTTGAAAGGGGCAGGCACCTTCAACAAATACTAAGCAGCTGATTGGATGAACCATCTGTCAATGAAACCTTTGCCAAAGCCAATCAAGAGAAAAGGAATACCATCTTTTATATCGATAAAAAGCATTCAGTGCCGTTCTTTTCTCTTCTTTAATGAAAAAAAATTGTAACTGATGATATTGCAGCATCTACAGTATGTGAGCCTCTTTTGGACGTTGGTATTTTCCCCCTCTAACACATCCCTAACGACCCCCCTAACTGCCTATACATTCTCACTGTCATGAAGGATGCTGATTGGTTGGGATATTTGGTTTTGACACAAACGCATAACATTAAGTCTGACAAGAGAGAATCTTGTGATAGCACGATCTCGCTTGATCTATTGATATTGCTAGAATCTAGCTGCAACCAAAAGTAATGGAGGTCTCCCCTGGAAAATAAAACAAGAATATAATCATACATTTTCCCACAATTTGACATTCAAAGACTTTTTCAGGCGATATTAGAAACTCAATCAAACCTTTTTTTTCTACTTTAGTCAAGTATAAAACTTCATGTCATCCCTAACAGCCTCTCTACCAATAACCTCCCCCCCTCCAGCTTAAATGTAAAGGAACCTTCTGATGCACACAACTGAAAACTGGATTAGGGCAGCAAAATGAGATGAAGGCATGCATGTATACTGTAGTATCATTGGTGGTTCTATGGGGGGTCCATCTGTGGCCAGTGCCCCCTCTGGCTTCCCCTCTGAAAGTAGTGTCTGACAGTACCATTTGTGATAGTGTTGCAGCACTGTGCTTTTATGGGTTTATGAATTTAAACTAACCAAACATTTTAAAACCTTGAACTCTGCCTTTGTTTTCTTCTCCCACATTTAATGTTCCCATCACATAAAATAACTGTCCCCAGCAAGGCCCATAACAGTGTAGTATATTTAATCCTTATTTGCATTGAGCCTTTACAGTAAATGCTTTTTCAAGGCACGATTAACATTTGACTTTATGAGAGTGTTCATTTTTGGGTGACACTTGCATTTTCAGCAGGTGATTCAATCAGTAATGATGCATTTTCATGTTTGTTATCGAGACAAATGTGTTGCACAGGCATACACCATGCAAACCTTCTCTTTCCTCCACCTCAGAAACTCCACTTTAATGAAAGAAGCCTTTGTACTTCCACAGCTTGAGGCACGGCTATGATTTATCTCTTCAAGCCACATTAACAACATTTCAAATCGTCTGCACCATCAACACCCCCCTCCCCCTTCTCCTTTACCCAGCAGGCATCATTACAGCACCAAGATGAGCGGAAGTGACTTCTGCGACTGCTTTCTGTTCACCACTTGTTCAGCATAACCACAATGCATTACTCTTACACACATCTCCTCTCAGCACTACATTCTGATTGGTCAGTGGTAATGAACATACAGCCACTCCTCCCATTTACTTCTTTGCGCTGACACAACAATACAATGTCTTCTTCTGCAGTTCCCCCCACTTCATATCAGCAGTTATCTTCATAAGGCATTTGGAAAACATGTGAAGGTTTGTTCAGTGACAGTTTTTACAGCAGAAATGTAGTTTTTCAGATTCTGTTATTTGACAGTACATTATGTTTACAAACAAGTGTATGTCTATTTTTTCCACTTTGTTGGAACAGATCATCTAAATTAGCTTTGCATTCAAGTGCTCCTCGGACGATCTCATTTCCCCACTTTTAGACTATGAAGAATATGAGCTGTTTTTTATTTCTAAGAGCTTCAAAAACAACACTTTGCAGCAAAGGAAACGGATCAGAACTTCTTATTTCTTTTATATCAAATATTTCTTCAGCCGACTTCAGGTTAAGCCTTATAAGGGTGAATGCTAATACATGATGTAACTTTGGAACTAATATAGTTTACCACAATCAACTATTACAACCTAAAATCATATCACATATTAATAGTTAGCAAATAATTGATATGCAAAATGATTTCCATCAATCGAACATATACTTCCATCCGCCATGTTTTTGCTTAGTTAACTCGGCAAGCTGTGTACTAAAGCTAACATTTTCACAGACTTTCCGAGTTGCTTTTCTTCCTACTTTTAGTGGCATTCACATGAATTTTCCAATTTTTCTGTCAACGCAAAAATGCGGCATTACCCTTTTCTTTTTTCTTTTTGTTCTTTGAGGTACTTTTTTCATGTGTTGTTTTTTTTTTCTTTGAATCCATTTAACCCTAGATATTAATCACATGTATTTAACTTTACTAAAACACAACAAGTCTCCTTCCCATAATGCTTTCCCCCCGTGGTGTCCAGGCATACTGCAGTGTGAGCCGAGTCAAGTGCGAGACAAGACCCAGATCTTCCGTCTCTTCTGCCACGAGTGTCAGCGAGTGTTCCACGACCGACTCATCAACAACCAAGATAAAACCTATTTCAACACCATAGTTTCTGAGATGGCCGGTAAGAACAACGGTCAAAAAGAACCTCATTAAAACTCAATTTTCTAAATGCAGAAACTGATTGATAATTGCACGCGTTGAACCACTAAGTGTCACACATTTCCTTTTCTTTCTTTTTGCTAGGCAAATATTTCAGCATTAACTTGGAACCCTCGTACTTTGTGACTCAGCCCATTATATTTGGCGACTTTATTAAGGTAAAAGTCCCTTTTTTAAATTTTTGTATTGAGAAAACCTCCGATTTTTTGGAAACAACTAATAAAATACCTTGAAATGTCTTCTTATTCCCATTGCTCTCCGTCTAACAACGCCCTGTAGGTGAGCGCAGAGAAAGAAGACCGTCTGTATGAGGATCTGACAGACATGGAAAAGATCCAGACGGTTCTCCAGGACTACCTGGACGATTACAACATGACATTCTCCAAGGAGACCAAGCTGGTTTTCTTCCAGGATGCCGTCGAACACGTCTCCAGGTGTGAACTTTCAAACTACCAATTACTGACTTTATTGAAGGGGAATTCGGATTGGTGGCAGCTGCAGGTGGTGCAAACTCTAACAAAAGTTACCCGAAATAAAGAAGGTGCATTATAGAGAGGAAAGTCTAGAAAGGACCCTGTGCACTGTGTGTGGTTTATAGTGTAACTTTATAATAACTCTGCCAGAAGGGTAGACAAAGGTCCAAGTTGGTGGCTCTCGTAATTTTAATTGGAATGATTATTTAACACCCTATGAATTTACTTAGACCTGTTTTTACCCTTCTGGCACTGAGAATAATCAAAAAAATGTGATTGATGTGTTTTCTTTAAGCAGACCGGGCTTCATATAGCCATCAGCTCCTCAGAGCTCCAAACATTGCAGTAAATCCTCAAATATACTGGGATAAAGTAATCATATATTGTTCATCGAAATATTTGTTCATCTTGCCTGAAAAACTGTTATAACTTAATAACAGCTCATTCAAAAGCTTGAAAACTGTTTATTTGGCAAGTCAAGTTTAATAGCTGGTGCCCTAGAGCATGCAGAGCATTATTTGAATAAACATGCTTTTGTTTCCTACTCATTCTGCCTTTAACAAAAAAAACGTGTAGCGAGTAGGTACAGTAGCTCTACTACTCAATTTGCAAGAATACATGACTCACACGATTTGACCACAGCATTCCCTCCTTTTTTTGTTTGCAAATAATAATAATCATTTTTTTTCACATCTTCTAGGATTTCTCGGATGATCCGCCAGGAGAGAGGCAACGCCCTGCTGGTGGGGGTGGGGGGTACCGGCAAGCAGTCGCTCACCCGGCTGGCCTCCCACATGTGCGGCTACCGCTGCTTCGAGATCGAACTGAGCCGTGGCTACAGCTACGACAGCTTCCACGAAGACTTGAGGAGGCTCTACAAGATGGCCGGCGTGGAGGGCAGGGACATGGTGTTCCTCTTTACAGATACTCAGGTTTGATAGAAGGACTCGATAAGGAGATATTTCACATGTTCAAGTCTTTGGATGATTTTTTGAGTGTTTAGACGTTTCCACTCTCTCTTTCCTGTTGTAGATTGTGGTGGAGGGCTTTTTGGAGGATGTCAACAACATGCTGAATTCTGGCGAGGTGCCCAACCTTTTTGAGAAAGATGAGCTGGAACAAGTGTTAGCTGCCACCCGCCCTAAGGCCAAAGAGGCGGGAATCAGTGAGGAGAACAGGGATGAGGTACACCGTCACAAACATTCAACGTAAAAAAGGTCATACAGATTAAACCTACAACACGTACAAGGGTCCTTTAGAGAGAAATGAATAAACCTATGTAAGATATTACCAGATATGAGTTTCTGAAGTTAAAGTAAATAATTGAGACCCTTTGATGCTGCTGCAGTGATTATAGATAGATAATATGGGCACTGATTTTATAATTATTATTATTATAATGATTTTATTATATATTTATCTTTATATTTTTGTTTTATTATTATGCAGTCGTTTACATTTTTTCATCTAATGTTATGGTATCATCAATAAAATGATGGCATTCTATCCCATCTTTGATTTCATTATATGTAATCTTTTCTTGTTGTAAAGCATTTCTTGAAAGCTGCTAGTATTATTGCGTAACATTTCAGAACCAACAGAAATACACAGTGTGTCCCAGAAAGGGCGAAAATAGCCATAGTGTCTGGGGAAGAAGAGCAGTGAACTAAAAGTCAGTCCCCCGAGGCGAGCTGTAGAAAAACATCAGATAAATATTATCTGCCGGCTGAGACCAAACCTCCAGAAATATGGAATTTCTGCCTGTGTGTGTGTGTGTGTGTGTGTGTGTGTGTGTGTGTGTGTGTGTGTGTGTGTGTGTGTGTGTGTGTGTGTGTGTGTGTGTGGCCCTCAGGTGTTCCAGTATTTCATCTCTCGTGTCCGGGAGAAGCTGCACATCGTGCTGTGTATGAGTCCAGTGGGGGATTCCTTCAGGTCCCGCTGTCGTATGTTCCCTTCCCTGGTTAACTGCTGCACTATTGACTGGTTTGTGCAGGTACGCTGACATATCTCTTTTTTACTGAACATATCTAGTAATATATTATCACTTATATTTAGGGGTGCACCGAATGGGAAATTCTTGGCCGAAACCGATACCGAAAATAGGAAACAGTTGGCCGAAAACCGAATGCCGAAAGGCCGAAAATGATTAATAGAAATATATATATATATAATGTATACATTTTTTACCAATGTTGTTCAGCTACCTGATTATGGAAAATGTATACATTATATATATATATATTTCTATTAATCATTTTCGGCCTTTCGGCATTCGGTTTTCGNTGAAAACTACCCTTGGATGATGGGTTAGTAGACTAAAAGCTTTAGGAATCCGAAGTACAACATATAATAAGCACGCTGTATCAAGATTGATGCAAAACAAGTGACATTTGACCTTTTTAAAGAGGTTTAGCAAAAAAACTCCACCTCTGGGGTCATTTGGGTGGAAATGGGCGTTCTCATTCATAACACTCCGTTCGATGTCTCACTATGGGATGCGCCTCAACGCGTATGCAAACAGAAGCATCAATCTCATTACGCCAATCCTGATTGGCTGGTGATCTTGATGTCTACGTCAGGCAATCCATCCACCCTATAAGTAGCTTGCGCTACGACGCAGCGTCATTCAAACACCTCTTCTCGCTTCGGAGCACATCTAAAAATATCAGTAGCCGGGCTAGCTTAACTGTCCACAGACTGAACCCAAGCTAACATTCGGTCGACGGGCGCTTGCCGGTTACTTTTTGCTTTGCGGAAGAAGGTTTCTGTCCATGTTTCCTGTCTGCGTTTGCGATCGGTGTAGATTTTGTTAGATTTCGTTGTGTCATGCTGGTTTTGATGGCAACTTTCCCTTTGTTTTACCTGGCCTGCTCTTTGAGTTTTTGGGAACCATCTTTTTTTTAGTAAAGCTATCTTTTTGTTCATACTTTTCAAATCTGCCTGCCCTCCTTTATATTGCATGTGGGTCCTGATTTATTCACCCCTTGTGACAAAAATAGATGATAAAGCAGGGTATGCTTTAAGACTATTGATTTACATAGTCTACCACGGAGTGTTACTGTGTTCAGTTTTACTAATAGACAGAGTAGGTGGTTCATTTGTTCTCTTCCGGTGAGTACATTTTGTGTGAAGCCTTTTTTTCTTTCGCTGTCGACATTTGGCTTCCCCATTAATTTATCTGTTAACTTGAATACCTTAATGCGCCATGCTAACCAGTGTCCGCTGCTAACTTAGCAGGCCTCGATTACTTCTGGTTAAAAAAAGGAATATGTCGCGAAACATATTATCCACTTGGGTTTTGTAACCCAGTTATTAAAACATTTGATATGTTTATATTCCACTGATGATCACACATGACACTGATTAATTGATCAATCATAACAATACATTGTCTAACACCTGAAACACAGTGAATGAATGCTGCCCTGAGTCCAGGTTTTGTAGGGCACCTGATCCTGCGGGTCGATCATAAGGGGCCAGCGGCGGCCCTCAGTCACCAGGATCCCATTCTCCGTAGAGACGGTGTCTCGAGGCAGACCCTCTGCGTTCCACTGGCGGATGACAAACGGTTCACCCAGAATGTTGATCAGGCTGAAGCTGGAACTGATGGGGATGCTCAGTTCCTGGCACTGTATTATCCACTGGTCAATTAGCTGGGGAAAGGGGGCACACACACATCATTAATTCACTTTTTTCTACAGAGTTTTGTTTGACAGATGATTGGTTTAAGGCACCTCTTGTGTTTTTGTAAACGTCATGTTTTATTATCTTTCTCTTTTCCTAATCACCGGTTTTATGACTTCTTCTGTGTTTTAATAATATACAAACATCATCAATTCAGAGCCATTACCATACATGTACTCTGCTCTGGGAATTTCATCTCACAGCAGCGGAACAATTACAGTTGCAAGAAAAAGTATGTGAACCCTTTGGAACTACCTGGATTTCTGCATAAATTGGTCATAAAATGTGTTCTGATCTTCATCTAAGTCACAACAATAGACAAACACAGTCTGCTTAAGCTAAAACCACACAAACAATTATATGTTTTTATGTTTTTATTGAACCAACCATGTAAACATTCACAGTGCAGGGTGGAAAAAGTATGTGAACCCTTGGATTTAATAACTGGTTGACCCTCCTTTGGCAGCAATAACCTCAACTATAGTTGCATATCAGACCTGCACAACGGTCAGGAGGAATTTTGGACCATTCCTCTTTACAAAACTCTTTCAGTTCAGCAATATTCTTGGGATGTCTGGTGTGAATCTCTCTCTTGAGGTCATGCCACAGCATCTCAATTGGGTTGAGGTCAGGACTCTGACTGGGCCACTCCAGAAGGCGTATTTTCTTCTGTTGAAGCCATTCTGTTGTTGATTTACTTCTGTGCTTTGGGTCGTTGTCCTGTTGCATCACCCATCTTCTGTTGAGCTTCAATTGGTGGACAGATGGCCTTAAGTTCTCCAGCAAAATGTCTTGATAAACTTGAGAATTCATTTTTCCGTCGATGATGGCAATCTGTCCAGGCCCTGAGGCAGCAAAGCAGCCCCAAACCATGATGCTCCCTCCACCATACTTCACAGTTGGGATGAGGTTTTGATGTTGGTGTGCTGTGCCTTTTTTTCTCCACACATAGCGTTGTGTGTTCCTTCCAAACAACTCAACTTTGGTTTCATCTGTCCACAGAATATTTTGCCAGTAGTGCTGTGGAACATCCAGGTGCTCTTTTGCAAACTTCAAACATGCAGATCAGAACACATTTTATGACCAACTTATGCAGAAATCCAGGTAATTCCAAAGGGTTCACATACTTTTTCTTGCAACTGTATATACTTCAGCAAAACATACAATTCAACAGATTGGCCTCCAACAGTTTGGTAAGATTTGGCTTTGTTGTAGACGGGTGCTGTTTCCCCCCCTCTTTGAACGTCAAGCGCAAGGCTTACCACTTCTATACAGACATGATTGTCATAATTATTGTAACCTCAGTATTTAAAAAAGAACTACAACGTAACACTGTCCCGGAAACTAGTTCATTCTGCATATCACAGTAGTTCTCAAAGCTCATTATTACACGGCTTAGTTGAATAATCGATTATGATTGGTCAATTTGGACATTTTAGAGGTTGTTAATTCTTGCTAACAGAATGCTGCTAAGGAGTAAGGAGAACAGAACAATGCTAAACAGGATCAAGAGACTATGTGCAGTCATATCAATCCGCAGAAATAAGTACATTTAACGTCAGCTGTGGACAACAAACATTAGTCTTCCTCTGTCAGAAAACACCATGGAATACTTTCAGAAATATTATTTTTTATATTTGTAGAGAGCACAAACTGTCTCCAGCAAAGTAACAGAGGGCACGAGAAGAACATAAGTTAGAAGACAGAGAGCTGGATGTCCGATCAATCAACATAAGACAGACAGGAAGTAAACACTAAAGGGAACACAGTGTGGGTTCTGGCACTGTTTAGAGACTGGTTAGTGAAAAATAAAATGTGAACAGACTAGGACAGTTACAGAACACCTTGATCAGTGCTGTGGTCATTTTAAGTTACACTGTTGTTGCTGCAGTTCTAGCCATTAGTACTGGTTCTTAGCGGAAGCAATACGAGTTTCATTAAAGACTGCCTCCCTGCACATTGTCCCTTACTTATTAAATCCCCTCATCACAGAGCACCTACCAGCTGTCTGTAGTGGGAAGTGAACGCTCCATAGTAGGCCACACAAGCAGCTGCGATGAAGACATTGCCAACGACGTTGATGATCTCTTGCTCAAACAAGGTGACACTTTCTTCCCAGCGTACTTGCTCATCGCCCAAAGCAGAAGTTAGCTTTCCTGCCCGGGTTAACCTGACCTGTGTCAGAGCCATGGTGTTAACTTTAAGGAAAGAGAGGGGTCAGAAAGAGAGGGTCAGAAATCTTGCAGACGTTTTTCCCTTCAGTTTCAATTTGTAATAAAACATGTGAATCCTGAAAAAGAAAGCAAACATTTACAGTACTGTAAGTATGGTCAATCTTGGTTGAATTTCCTAGATCTCACACATTAATATATTTATAAAATAATTAGTAGCCGGCCAGTTTAAAAATTAAGAAGAATTTAAATCTTTTGCCTCCCATTAAAAATTATCTATGACAAAAATTCCCAAAACTGCCATGCATTATTATTAATATTGGTTTCAAATGTGACTGAGTTCTGGGGCCTCATTTATAAAGCTTTGCGTAGGACAAAGCAAATAAATACGCACGAAAGTATTCCGATTTATAAAACACTGCGTACGGCACATCCTACGCCGGTTTCCCTTTATAAAATCACAATCAACTCGAAATGCAGTGCAGCTTTTGCGGGCTTCACGTAACGCCCATATTATAAATAGTCAAAGAAACGCCCATTCATTCATTCATTTTGACTGACTGCATGAAGAAGATTGCAGGAAATGACGACAGAACAGCTAAAAAAGACATCTCACACCGTGTCAGATTTTGGTTATTTTGGGAAGGTCGAGATAAATCATATTTTTTGGTGGATGCAGTTTGAACCAGAGTAGCAGCATGGAGGTCACCAAACGTCACCAAAATAAATAAATAAGTGGTCAGAAAAAAGGTTAATGACAACAAAAATACACATAGCCATAAACTTCCTCAGGCAGTGTGTTTGTACCGGGGACAGGAGACACCCCCTTGATGAGAAACTGTAAGAAATGATCAGGGAATCCCTCCGGGGTGGAGTCATGACGACTGGATCTGAATAATTTGTTTGTATTTGGTGGTTTGTGTTCCAGCTGTCGATCAGTAACTATATATCCATAATCCACCTGTTAAATAAAATACAACTAATGTGTTGTGTTATATTAGCTGTACAGTTTACCACATATGGTGTTCTTAGTTTCCATACCTCCTGTGTTTTACGAGCGATTTATAAAGTAGGCTATTGGCGAATGGCATAAAACATGATTAAACATGATAGTATATAAAACCATGCTTGCATCTAT